GGTAAGGAAGGGGGTATAAGTGCCCAGTAGGCAAGTGGTTAAAGACTGTGTGTATTAGTATTAGAATATTAGAATAGTTCGAATTTTGAAAAGAGTAGACTAAAAAGGATAAGAGGATAAGGAGAATAGAAAATAAAAGAACAGAATAGAATAGAAATGAAAACAATAAAACAGAATATAGCCATCTTCTGAAATTTTAATTTTGAAAAGCATAAAATAGGATAAAACAGAATAGAATTGAATCAAAAAGAATACAGTAAAGCAGAAAAAGAATAGAAAAAAGAATAGAATAGAATAAAATAGAATAGAAAAGAGTAAAATAAAAAAAAGAATAGCATAAAACAGAACAGAATAGAAAATAAAAGAATAGAATAAAATAGAGTAGAAAATAAAGGAAAAAAATGAATAAAACATAAAATAAAATATTAGAATACAATAGAAAAGCATAAAGTAAAATAGAACAGAATAGAAAAGAACAGAGTAAAACAGAACAGAATAGACTAGAAAGTAAAATAATAAAATAGAATAGAAATAAAGGAATAGAAAATAATAGACTAGAAATAAAAAGAATAGAGTAAACATAACAGAATAGAAAATAGAATATATTAGAATAGAAAATAAGAGAATAGAAAAGAACCGAATAGAATCGAATAGCATAGAAAAAATAGAAGGATAGAATAGGATAGAATAGAACAAAATAGAATATTAGAACAGAATAGGAAAGCATAGAGTAAAATAGAACATAATAGAAAAGAATAGAGTAAAACAGAAATAGAATAGAAAATAAAGGAATAGAAAGGAATAGAAAATTATAGAATAGAAAGGAATAGAATAGAAAATAATAGAATAGAAATAAAAAAGAATAGAGTAAACATAACAGAATAGAAAATAAAAATAGATACAAAATAATAAAAGGATACAAAATAAGGGAATAGAAAAGAACAGAATATAATCAAATAGAATAGAAATAATAGAAGGGTAGAATAGGATAGAATAGAAAAAAAAAGAACAGAATAGAAAAAAATAGAATAGAAAGGAATAGAAAAGAAGAGAATAGAGTATAGCTGTCTTCTGAATAGAATTCTGTTTTAGAATGAAACAGAATAGAATAAAATATAGCTGCGTTCCAAAATTCAAATGTTAAAAAAGAATAACATAGAATAAAACACAATAGAGTAAAACAGAATAGAAAATAAAAGAATAGAATAAAATAAAACAGAAAATAAAGGAATAAAGTGGAAAAGAAAAGAATAGAATAGAATGCAATAGAAAAAAAACCAATGGAATAGAATACAACACAAATAATATAACCATCTTCTGAAATTTGAATTCCGAATAGTCTAAACTCAAATTCGACTGCTGATTTGAAACTTTTCGATTGGGGCTAATTCAAAATCAAGTAAATGAAACTAAACGAATTCCACAAACAATTTACATGAATATAACAAATTTAACTAAACGATAAATATTTAAATAAAGAATCCAAACAAGTTTTTTCATCCTGCACATGTCTATAAATCAGCTCTGGTGGCAGCAATCCTATAACTAAACTAGGGCATTGGAAATGTTCTTTTGCATTAGAGTGGAGAGATGTTGAAATGAAGGACCCCGTGCTTCCTAATGGGCTTCGTTATAGCTTGTCTGTAATACCGGCACAGTTACACATGTAATGGACCCTGCCTACTGCCTGGAAATGACAATATAAACAGCTTCACATCACATATTGCTGTGCAAATGAGCTTTGTATGAGAATCGCTCAATAAAGCATCACCAGGGACAGCCAGGCCTCACTTCCTCCACTACACACTGTTCCTAGACTCTATCCCTGCACAGATGTTTTCAGAAGTACACACTGCGCCCCATTTGCAGCACTTCCCTTTCTTTTGATATCCATTATACTTTATGGTTCTGCTTCATTTTAGAAAACATACAAATTGTAATTTTATTTAATCTATTTATTTTTAATGATGGAACTATAGATTGCAGAATGACAGATGAAATTCTTTTATAAAGATGGTCATGCATGGCAAGATTTCCAAGAAAGGAATCTATAGGTTCCTCCCATCACATTAAGTAGCATGGATGGACAAATCTCCAACTGCTGGTAATTGCATTCTGACAGCTGTCACCCGCGGCTGTCAGAATTCCTGAACAGTGACTGCAGCTAAGTGGCTGCAGTTACTGCTCAGTAGACTTTTTTCTGCCAGGCTCCTTTGATTTTTCAATCCATGTTTGACAAGCTGGATATTCAAGCAGTGTATGGCAAATTGAACTGCTTCCCGACTGACCTATAGCAAAACTAATGCTACAGGGCAGCAGGGTTGCACAAATAGTAAAAAAATTTTAAAATTGTATTTAAAAATTTTTAAAAATTTGTGTTTCCGGGTATTGGCAGTTTTAGATGTCTATCATTGGGTCTTGGCCAGTGATTCCCCGCAGGCACCCAGGGATCGCAGAGTATCACTGACGGGGGGATAGGTCTGTATGTAAACAATAGAGATCCCTCCCTTGTCAGCTCCAGCATGCTGCTTTGTATTGCTCTGCGTAGCAAAGCAATACAAAGTAGCGTGCTTACACGGAAATCTCTGGTTCACATATATGCGGCTGTGCAGGCCGCGTTTTGCATGGGCATGAGAGCCCATTCATTTGAATGGACTCCCGTGCCCCGTGATACGCAGGGAAGATGTCCCTGCACTTCTTCTGAAAATGCAGCCCGCACTGGAACCTCGGTTCCCAGTATGATTGCGTTTTCCAGTGTGGGTGGCATGCCATTAGAACTAATGGGTCCAGCCCGCAGGTCCACATTCCTCTGTGCAGGTGGTGCGGCTGCACGGATTTTCATGTGGATCTGCAGCGACACCACCCACACATATGTGAACCAGGGCTAAAGCACACACACAGCACACAAAGTAAGGCTAGGTTCACATATGTGCGGGTGGTGCACCCGCACAGAGGAATGTGGACCCGCGGACGAGTGCCATTAATTCTAATAGCATGCCACCCGCACTGGAAAACGCAACCCTACTGGGAACTGAGGTTCCCGTGCCGGCTGTGTTTTCAGAAGAAGTGCAAGGACTTCTTCTCTGCGTATCATGGGGCATGGGAGTCCATTCAAATGAATGGGCTCTCGTGTCTGCACAAAATGTGGCCCGCATGGCTGCATATATGTGAACCAGGGGTAAAACAGCACACAAGTAACCCTTTGATCGTCCCAGATGTTAACCCCTTCCTGCCCAATGTCATTAGTCCAGTGTCAGTGCTTTTTATTAGCACTGATCACTGTATTAGTGTGACCGGGGATGTCAGTGACAGTTCCTCAGTCCCATCCAGTTTCAGAATGTCCGCTGCAGTCCCACTATAAGTCGCTGATTGCCGTCATTACTAGTATAAATAAAAAATTAAAAAAATTCCAGTATCTATACTGCCATTTGTAAATGCTATAACTTTCAAGTAAACCAATTAATTTACACGTATTGGAATTTTTTTTAGCAAAGACCTGTAGCAGAATACATTTTGGGCTAAATTTATGATGAAAATAAATTTTTTTTACTGGATATGTTTTATAGCAAAATGTTAAAAATATTTTTTTTTTTTCAATATTGTCGGTCTTTTTTTGTTTATAGCACAAAAATAAAAAAACGCAGAGGTAATAATAGACCACCGAAAGAAAGCTCCATTCATTGGAAACAGAGCACATACATTTCATTTGGGTGCAGCGTTGCATGACTGCGCAATTTGTCAGTTAAAGTAACGCAGCGCCGTAACGAAAAAAAAAAAATGGTCTGGTCGGAAGGGGGTAAATCCTCTGGAGGGCAAGTGGTTAAAGTGGAACTGCAACCTAACAATGCCTATGCTTACAATGTTTCCTCCCTCCTCTTGCTACCTATCCTGCACACCCTGTGTAGAAAAAAAGATGTGCATACTTACCTATTGTTACTCTGCTACTGTGTGGTTATGTGATCCCACAGCTCCAGCTCCCCTGTGTCAGTGAGCAGCTGCAGGGGAGAGGAAGGAGAGCTGACAATGGCTGGGATATGGGAGTCTGTGAATGAAGTCACAGCTCCCGGAATTCACAGCCATCGTCAAATGGTCTCTCCTCTCCCCTGCAGCTGCTCCTCACTGACACAGGAGATCCCCTGACTGGACCAGAGTGAGCTAAAGAAAGGTAAGTATACAGATCTTTTATACGCAGGTTAGCACAGATTTTTGAAGCATAGTTTAGGCTGGAATTCAACGTGAAGCGATTGTTATACATATCTCTTAGTATTAGGTTGAGACAAGCACAAGAGAATCATTTTATATTTCAAGCTGGTAATGTTTAGTGCAGCAGATGCACTTTTTAAATGTGAGTTCATTTTATTGTTTTGGCTTTCATATGAATAAATAAATACTTTGCTTCTTTTAATGTCTGAGGCGAGACGGGATGCAAGTTTGTGAGAGAAGTGCCATCCATCTGCTGGCTCTAGATTGTACACTGAAAAACATATTTGAAAAAGTGGCATAGGACCTACCTACACCTTGGAAGTAGATATTTCAGGTGAGTTTGGCCCCTACAAGTGGAGGGTCGCACTGGTGGTGTGTGGATATTTAAGGAGTTTTTATTCACTTAAAGTGGATTTCAAAATAATTGTGGGACTGTTCTTACTTATTAAGGTTGTAGTTTGTAGACACTAATGGACTTTATTGGCAATATGGGGGTTGATTTACTAGAACTGAAGAATTCAGAATCTGGTGCAGCTGTGCATAGAAACCAATCAGCTTCCAGGTCTGTTTGTCAACGCTTACTTGGACACGATAAAGTTAGAAGCTGATTGGCTGCTATGCACAGTTGCACCAGATTTTGTACTCTCCAGTATCAGTAAATGAACCCCATTGCATATATATATATATATATGGTATGTATTGTATATAAAAGTGGTATTAACCCCAAAAGAAAATATTTATTGTATTACAGCTTACCAATTCTTAGATGTGATGGCTCCATTAGTTTTCTTTTTTAGGCCATCTTTCTTTTATTTTCACCCAGCAATCCTGCCATTAAAGTGTTACTAAACCCAGGACCCTGCATTCACTATATCTGGTCTCCCACAGTACACACAACATGGAAGTGCAATTATTTTAGTAAATATAAACTGCTAAATACCTTTTCTCTTCAGCAGTTAGATCAGTCTTGTGACTTCTATCAGTGTTCAGCAGAGCACTGGTTAAAGCTTGCAGGAGGAGTTTTCATTTTGCTCTAGGAGGATGCAGAACCCCTGGCCCCTGTCTGGACAGTGTTGATTGGCCCTGTGCAGATCACATGTACCCTCCCAAGAAAAAAAAAAGAAAACCTCTTTAGCAATATACGCCAAACTGAGCATGTGCAGAGTGACTCCAATATATTTTATCAGGAGATAAGAGGGAGACACTGGAAGAAGGGGAGGATCTGAGAACTGAGGTTCTTATTATTATAAAAGTCAGGATCAAACAGCCTTTTTACACAGTGCAGAGGATTAACCCCTTAGGTTCCACAGTGAGCATAACAAGCATGCTTTACTGCATATACAGACTGATTTAGCTGTTGTGGGTTTAGTAACACTTTAAATCTGTCTTTTTTTTAACAGAACAAACTGTCCTGTGGATGTAGCAGTGTTGAGACAAACCATTTAAGACCTCACACATGGGTGCCTAAAAATGCCATGTAAACTAACAAAACTAAAAAAAGAAAACTAATGCAGCCACACATCTAAGGATTGGTAAGCTGCAATATATTACATCTTTTGTTTTGCATTTAATACTGGTTTAAGTGCTGCCTTTGGTTGTGTTCACATATGAAAGGGAAGAAATGCTACTGACTGTTCTCTGGTGCTGGCACCAAGTTCCCACATACGGTATGTCACAGCAGAGTATTACGCAGCTTTCACCAAACCTTTTATGTGGAAGCCACTCTGCTCTGTTAATCCTGTGTTAAATAAAGCTGAATGTACAGTGATACTGGTGCCCAGGAATGCACCTATGTACTTGAAACCCTTAAAAGGACAAAAACTATAATGCATGCTTTGTGAGCACATTTTCTGCCACATTCATTAGATCTACAGGCGTACCTCGGTTTACGAACGCCTCGGATAATGTAATTTTCAGTTTACGAATGAAAATCCATTGAAAATAATGTCTCGGTTTACAAATTTGTTTTCACAATACGAACAGATTAATTGGTTTTCAAAGCATTTATGAATTTTTTTTCAATCATATCCGTGTACAGTACTATGCATTTAAAGTGCACTTCATAAAGAGTTTTGAACAGATAAGACTTTTTTTTACTTTTTTCTGACCTCCGGAAGGGATTCATTGGTTTTCAATGCATTTACAAATTTTTTTTTTTTAATCATTTCCTTTATGCTTTTAAAGTGCACTTTATAAAGAGTTTTGAACAGATAAAACTTTGACTTTTTCTGACCTCCGGAATGGATTCATTGGTTTTCAATACATTAACAAATTAATTTTAATCATGTCCCTGTACAGTATTTATGCCTTTAAAGTGCACTTTATAAAGAGTTTTGGACAGATAAAAGACCTTTTTTTAACTTTTTTATGACCTCTGGAACGGATTAATTGGTTTTCAATGCATCGGTTTACAAATTTTTTGCAATACGAAAAGTCCCACAGAACGAATTAAATTTGTAAACAGAGGTACACCTGTATATGTGTGCTTAGAGGTGCTTCAATGTTTTCTTTGTGTGTCGACAACCGTTATTGATGCGCATTGACACATTTTTCACTTTAAGATTTGAAGGGAACAGCCATTAACTAACACTTATTAATATCTGTTGCCAATGCATCAAAATGCATCAAAACACGTGTCACATGTTTTTTGATGCATTGCCATTGAATTCTATGGGCCTCCCATCCCACTAAAATGCGGAAGAAAACGGATGGTTTTAAAAAGACTGTGTTGAGATGGCAACAGACATTAATCTATTATGGGGTATTTAGAGATGTACATTAAAACACAACATTGTAAATAGGCCCTAAAACCTACAAACTAGTGGTGCATCAAAATGAAAATTCTGGTGCCGAAACCGAAAATTCAAAATGCACTTGGCCAAAAACCGAAACCGAAATGCACAGTTTTTAAAAATTAATATATATTTGTTGGAAAAAAATATACTTTGATTAAAAAAAAAAAAAAACAATATATGCCCCAATTTTTTTGTAAAATATGAAAGAGGATGTTACGGCGAGTAGATAACCAACATATCAAATTTTAAAATTGCACACTCTCATGGAATGGCGTGAAAACTGCAGTACTTAAAAATCTCCATAGGTGATGCTTTAAAATGTCTACAGGTTAGCAGTGTAAAGTTACAGAGGAATTCTAGTGAGAGAAGTACTGCTCTTGCTCTGTCGTTCGTGGCGATACCTCACGTGTGTGGTTTGAACACCATTTACATATGTGGGCATGGCATACATATGCGTTCACCACTACGTGCGAGCACGAGGGGACGGGGGCACTTTAAACTTTTTTTTTTAATTTTTGTTTTTTTTTTTTTTTGCATTGTCCCTTTAAAAAAAATTGTAATCACTTTTATTCTTATCACAAGAAATGCATGCATCTCTTGTGATAGAAATAATTAGTGACAGGTCCTCTTTATGGAGAGATATTGGCTCCCCACATATCTGCTCTGCAATGTAAAGCATTAGATAAATAAAAAAGCATTGATCCAATGCTTTAAAAAAAAAAAAAATGGCCAGAACGGGAAGTGACATCGCTCCGGTCCTCCAAGGGCATATATATGAGTGGCGGCCATCTTTCCTTCACTTATCTCTATGCCCAGCGCCTGGATCAATGGTTTCTCAGGTAATGCTGAGAACTACCGAGTGGTGGTTGGCAGCAGCAGACGGGCAGCGTCGGCAAAGGGTGGGGTTTTTTTTTTTTACGGCACCTGTACCGATGCTTGTTTTTGGGCACCGAAATTTCGGTGCATCCCTACTACAAACCAGAGTAGGAAGGTTCCAGTTTGCAGGTGGCAGGGCTATGTTATCACTGATAAGACCCAAGGTCATTTATAACGAAGAACAGATATAGCTAACAAGCCGGGCCCTCTGTTTCCTCTTGTACCAAATTGTATTGTAACTGTAATGTCTACCTTCATTTTGTAAAGCTCTGCGCAAACTGTTGACGCTATATAAATCCTGTATAATATTATTGATCACTATATGCTCTCTTCAACATGCACTATGTACACCATGGCCTATCCCATTTGAAAAACATTCGGACTGTGGTATGTAGCCTGTGAAGACCCAGTGGGGGAGATTTACTTAAACTGGTGCACTCAGAATCTGATGCAGTTGTATATGGTAGCCAATCAGCTTCTAACTTCAGCTTGCTCAATTAAGTTTTGGCAATAAAACCTGGAAGCTGATTGGTTTCTATGCACAGCTGCACTAGGTTTTGCACCATGCAGTTTTAGTAAATAGCCCCCACTATGCCAATGGAGAGTCCACTGTGCTCAATGGAGAAAAAAGAGCTTCATGACTGGAGGAGAGCTGGTAATGTGATTTTGTGGCTTTAAAGAGGACCTGAACTCTGGAAGTTTTGGCCAAAACGTCAGGCACAGTGCAACTGACCAGTCATCAATATTGCCCATGCTCTCCCTTGTTCTGGACCTCTTTGTGTGGAGCCAGCCATCGTAGTAGAGACAAGGCATTGCTTTCTCATGTCGAAGCTTTCAGCAAGGAGAATAATGAGCACCTCACTAGTGACACCACCAAATTCCACTCCATATCTCTTGAGACTAGCTGCCACAGGCAGCAATGCCTTATATCTTACATTACAGATATACAGCCATGAGGCTAGAAGCACAGAAGTGCGTAGGCATGCTCATACCATGAAGTGCTATTTTTTAGGAGAAAAAATTCTAGAGATAAGGTACGTTTTTCATGGTACTGCTTACGCACAATAAACATTTTACATGTTCCTATTACACAGCAAATCTCCATTATTTGAGTTCAGGTCCACGTTAAGGTTGTTATAATTATAAAAAGATTTGTAAATCTACTCTCTAGTGGCAATCTGTATGTCAGATTGTACAGTCTTCAGCCTTCCTGAATTACTGCAGAGATAAAACCATTTATTTGATAATCCACCTAGATAATGCTTCTCAAGAGAGAAGTAAAGTACAATGAAGATACAGTGCTACCAAACATTGTACATATACATTTCTATGTAATAAGCAACCATGGCTGACCCCATGTACATATATCCATAACTTATGAATAGAAATGTATTTATACAGTGTTTAGCACACAGTACATGTATAAAAAAAAAAATCAAAAGAACATTAATTCCCTTTGTCAGTGCAAAATGTGCAATATGGTTCACTACTTGCAAAATTAAAGATATCTATCTTCCATTGTAAATGTGTGCATATAAGAGAAACATATACAGCAGACTATTAAAAAAGAAGAAAATGGCATAATAGTGAGAAGAAGCCCTAACAATCCTTTAAAAATTGCTTCTACCAACTACAGATTTCTATACTGATAGCTTTTTGCTAACAAACAGCAATAAAATAACTGCTACGAATAAAGTCCTATGGTATGAGAGGGTGTCAGAGTAGGGAGCAATGCTGTATAGGAACAGGAAACATCAGCATGGAGAACCTGGGATTTGCTAATATCATGAACTGCAAACTCTGGCTTGCAACGCTGGAAGAGATAAACGATTACAAAGATAAATGACTTCTAGAGGTGTAAGCCATGATTTCTCTCCACAATGAAAAGAAAAGATTGTGGCAAAATGCAATGTTGACAAAACCATCCAAACCAAACTAGAAAATTAAAGAAAAATTCCATGTCTGTCACATATCATGTGTCACATGTGTCATGCACAACTAAAACAAGTTCATACTCATATGTACAGTATGTATCACTCAGCCAAGTATTCATCCATGCTAACAGCATGGTCCATCATACAGATCTATGGGGGGGGGGTGACATAGGTGGAGGAATAAAAAAATGGTCCCCTTTTGTTGGAATATCCAAAACCTGGTTTAAATTCCTTTCCACCCTTCTTTCTATTTCCCTCTTCCTTTTTCTCTCCCTATATTTGTATTGATTAGTTTGTTTACCTTAATTTATGGTTTTATGAATATGATGTGTAATGGCACTTTATGTGAGTGGCTTAGTAAATTATTTAAACTTCGCTCACCTACACTTCCAATGGGGTTCAATGACTAATGCAGGCCATAGATGGGTTGAAAATCGGCCGAAAATTAGTCCAAAAGAATAATCGGCCGATTTTCGGATCGTTAGTGGGTGAATTTGTCAGCTGTTTTTCGTGATTTTGACACATTTTTTTTAATCGGTTATGTTGGAAAAAAAAAATGTCCAATTTTGTCGATCGGCTGATTTTCATGGCAATGA